ACAGATGTGGTCACCTCCTCTCAAAAAAGATATAGTGGCATTGGAAAAAGTTCAGAAAAGGGCAATAAAAATGAGTTAGGGGTTTGGAATGGGTTCCATATGAAGAGAGAGTAAAAAGACGGGGACTTTTCAGTTAGAAGAGACTAAGGGGGGATATGGTATAGGTCTATGAAATTATGATGGGTGTGGAAAAAGTGAATAAGGAAAAGTTATTTACTTACTCCCATGATGGAAGAACTAGGGGTCAACAAATGAAATTAATAGGCAGCAGGTTTAAATCAAAAGTAAGTTTTTCTTCACTCAGTGCACAGTCAACCTGTGGAACTCCTTGCCAGAGGATGTGGTGAAGGCTAGAACTTTAACAGGGTTCAAAAAAGAGCTAGACAGATTCATGGAGGTTAGGTCCATCAATGGCTATTAGCCAGGATGGGTAGGAATGGTGTCCCTAGCCTCTGTGTCTCTGGAGGTGGGGGATGGGCAGGATCACGTGAGGATTACCTGTTATGATCCCTCTCTCTGGGGCATCTGGAATTGGCAACTATCAGTAGACAGGATACTGGTCTAGATGGACCTTTAGTGTGACCCAGTATGGGCATTCTTATGTTCACTATATATACAAAAATGACTTTTGTTCTACTTTTCATATAAGGGCTGATACTAGGTCACTTTGCTGTCCAGTCATTTATAACCTGATTCTGTTTTCTGTAGTTTGTAGGATACAGCTTTTTAAGCACACCCTTGACCTCTCATTTTCACCGTCAAAGGAGTAAAGATAGACTGGTGAGCTCTTTTAAGGACATGCCACTGCATTCACAGGGTACATCTGCATTGCAACTGGGAAGCACCTTCCGCTCATGTAGAGCACTAAAATAGTAGTGTAGCCAGGTGCAGCTCATGCTAGTTGCTTGAGTTATAGACTTGCCTAGAACTTGAGGTACCCATTTGCTCAGTCAGCCTGAGCCACAGACCATACAACACTCAGCTGTGCTTTTCTCTTAAGCGTGCCAGCTCAAACAGAGCTTGTACATACCTATCTGTCTGACCGTGCTGGGAAGCATGGTGCTGGCTTCAGTGTTACACATACTGAAAGGTGATCAAATAGCTTTGAGATTGTGGCTTTGAGGTAGTGGCTTGTATTTCTAAGATAAGTATGATCTAATGGTTAGCATAGAAAACCGAGGGCCATAACTCCTGCATCCTATTCCGATTCTGTACTGTCTAACTTGAACCTGAAACTCTGTGCCTGTTACCTCATTTGTAAAATAGGAGGAGGTAAATATCCCAGTATTTGAGGTTTTGTTCGTAAAGTGCTTTGAGATCTTTGGATAAAATGTGACATGTTGACCCAATATTCTATACTGCCCAGGTGTCTTCCTCATGCTTTGCTTTCACATGTCAGTTTTATTTAAGGACACAGTGTAGCTAAAACTGTCATTTGAAATCATGTAGGGACCTTCCCTGTTGCTAGCTCATTAACGTGCAGTTCTGTCTGTTTCTGAAAGTAAACCTTCTCTTTGATAGCATTATTGCAACCCCAGTGGTTTTGGCTGCATTTGTTTAAAATAAAAATTCCTGAAAAGGGATGTCATCCAGCCAATGTTTAAAATTGGAAAGGAGCCATGCTGACTTCCTGCAGTTGTGGGTATACAGAGCTGTTTCAATAGAAGGTTGAGATAGTAAGTAACTTGCAGAGCTCTGTGGCTAAGACAGTGGGGAGAAAGGACAGAGATTCATAGTGCTCTGCAATGAGTGAGAACTACTTGCAAGGTTACAGTTGCCATACTTGCCTGAATATCTGACTTCTGGCATCTGGACTACAGGAGGGCATTACGATTGACACCGAGGTGCTTGAGTATTGACCATGGAGCCTCTGGTTCAGTTTGGCCTGCAATTTCAGCTGCTTGTCATTCACAGGGATGCTTATAGCAAAAGTACAAATGACTCCATATACATCTGCCAAAGCATTCGAGCCTTTTTATGGCTATTGCTGCTTCCTCTGTTAAAGGACTCATGCTGTAGCCCGGGAATGAAATCTAGCAGGTCTTCACTTTGGTGTGTCTGATTTCTGCAGTACTAGCTGGTAACTCAGTATAGTTTTTCTTGTTTAACTAGCCACACAACTCTGTGTTTTTGCACAGCAGTTTGAAACAATCTTCTTGAAACTTACTGCTGCTAGCATTGTTACGCTGACCAGTGTGGACAGTAGGGATGTAAAATTCCGTTTTATTGGTTAAATGCAATGTCACCAATTCATTTAACTGACTAAAATGGTTTGGGTTAGCGTGGGCCCTGCTACAGACAGAGGCTGCTTCAGCCCAGCTGCTCCTGGCTTCTGTGCCGGGGCTGCTGCTGCAGCTGCTAACCCCCATGTGGGGCAGCCTGGAGGGGCTGCTCCCGGGTGCTGGTTAACTGTTACTCCTTCAGCAGTTACCCATTAACATCCCTAGTAGACAAGGGGTTTCCTTTGAGATGTATGCAGTATATCACACCCTAACGCAGTGGTCTCCAACCTTTTTACACCCAAGATCACTTTTTAAATCTCAGAACAGGCGAAGATCTACTGCCCCGCCCCTTCCTTGAAGCCCCGCCCTCTCTATTCTCCTCCTGTTCATGACTTGCTATCCCCAGCCCTCACTTACACACTCTGATAAACAGTTTATTTTTAAATTACGCGATACATACTATTAAAATCACGTGTTTATAGTTATGAAATAAATGGTCTGTTTTTTATTCATGCTATTTAAATCTAAAATGAAGCATTTATAATTATACATTTTGTGGGGACAGAGTTCTGCGGCTGGGGGTAGGGGAGAGGGAACAGGGTGCTGGAAGGGCAGAGGACAGGATTCTGCAGCAGGAGACAGGGGAGCGGGGACAGGGGGCTGGGGGATGAGGGGCCAGTGGGAG